GAAAAAACGAAATGACTTTCCGAACAACCCTATATATAAAAATGTAAACTCTAACACATGTATGAGATGTATAGAATTAATGATGTAACAGATAAGAATTATTTGTACTGTTTAGTGTAAAAGTTTCTGCAAATTTGTAGGAAATAACATTAGTTACACCAGCTGCCAACTTTTCAACAAGCGCTGGAAACATTATTTCCTTATTTTCTTTACATTTCCGTACTGTCGAACAGATTGTAACAGTAATCTTTAACCGCAAACCTCAGCTTCATCTTTAAAGCTACATGTCATATAGACCCATCTTCAAAAGGCTTTACTCAGATCAACTTGCATATCCCTATCGTTTTCAGAATTGACCTTCCAACTTTTGCTCTTCTAATTCTCATACTTCTATATGTATTTACTTCCCCTAAAACAAATTTAAAGGTTATTTCAGAAAAAAAAACACCCGCACTACGTCTGTATAGGCCTTCTACTATCAGTCGACTTCAAAAAAGCTAAGGTTCTCAATTCGATATTTTTTTTTGCAGGTACATGATTTTAATTAATCTTCTTTTATTGGATCGCTTATATCTCGAGGATGTTCATATTTAAATTTGAAGGAATTATTCCACCTCCAAGGTTGGAAAATTGAAGGTTGACAAAAGTATTTGGAAAAATTGACCCAACCTCGTTATTGCATCAGATCTTTTTAACCTTTCACAACAGCCCCATCTCTTCCTGCAGCAATCTCGATAAATCGAGAATATTTTTTTGTTTTCGTGGTAGACGAATAGGGAATCTTAAAAAAAAACTCCCAGCTGTCCATACGACTGGACAGTGCAGGATTCCCCCGAGAGGGACATACCAATTAAAACCCCTCCACCTCAGTCCCTTTTAGGACCACTTAAAGTGGTGCTTTTAGCAAACATCGGCTACTAAACCGAATATACGTTATCTAACCATGTTTGTATAATATCGAGTTACGAAAGTATGCCGCCATCTACCGAATATTTACTACTAACTAAAATATTTCAAATATTAGACAAATACCTTGCTAACTATGTTTACATATAGGTGTACCTGAGCGATAGACACCTAAACCAAATAAATAAAAACTGATTAAGTTCCTAGTAAGCGGCTTCGATCTTATTTAATCTCATCAGCACTCTTGATACTGAAGATATTCCATACAAATATTATATATGTCGTTGTCTTCTTAAGTAAATGCAGATATCAACCGTAAATATTATTTAGCGATTTCATTGTCTTCTTAATTTCAGGTTGAGCTTGAGAACTGGGTCAACAGTATACACAGTGCATGTGCAGCAGCGTTTGCAAGACATCGAGGGAAGACGGGAACGTTGCATTTGCTACAGGAAGAAATATTTAGACTGGAAAAGGCCATAGAAACGGTAATTGCATTTTTAATTTGTTTTCCTTTTTCTTTTCTTTCTAATCCATATAACAACCGAAGCACTGAATTATTAAGTCATTCGAAAATGAACGCTCTCTGAAGAGAATTCACTTTTTTTAAACTCGAAACGTGGTTTCCATTTGGGTGCATGGTAAGAAAGGGAACCATGAGAAGTTTGAAAAAGGACCAAACATTGTTTCAAGTAGCATATGCACTTGAAAGGAATTCTGCTAAATTAAAAATTTATCAACTCTAACAAACCAAACATTACAACAATAAATTGTTACATCTATAGTAATATTAGGAAAAACCTAGATATCTTCCAGATTGTAAGAAATAAAATATCGAATTTTTGAGCTTATTCCATAAAATAAGTGTATCATGAAAAGCTTTTCAACCCCCTTCTTCTCCCCCGCCCCCACCCATGCCGGCTATCATGTCGCAGATTAATAAAGCTAACCCAATGGTAAAGGTATTGCAAGAAGTATTTAAAATACATTAATTTGTACTAGAAAAGTACGGTATTTGTATTATGTATTTTTTTTTTTTAAACGTAAGGTAGGAAAAGCTTCCTAATCTACATACCTAATGCTTAAATACAATGTGTCTACATGAGAAGGGAGACTCTTCCTACCACCTTTGTCCAGTGTCATTCCCCTGCTATAGGTAGAAAATGGTTCCGAAGAAGAAGGATACAGGGCAATAGTTTATTTTTTATAACAAAATTTTATTGAATAACCTCAGAAATTAATTTTTCCTTTTCTTAATTTTCGAATCTCCCCTTATTTAGAGAAAGCTTTTCTTACCTTTGCCTTCTCCGCCGCCCGCTCCCATATCGGCTACCATACCACAAATATTAGTAAAGCTAACTCAAATAGCACACGGAGAAAAATAAATTTTTATGGTAAAGCAAAAATTACAATTTTTGATTGTAAATTACTGAATTTGCAGTAGAAATAGCAAAATTTATTAGTTAACTTGTAATAATCTCAATTTTGACGTGTTTCCTTAAAAATCATTTTAAAGTTTCTTAATTATTACAATTGTAATATCAACTAAAATACCTAGTAAATTTATTTCTGCTGGGATTTTATTTTTACAAAATCGGGACCAAACTGTAATTTTTAGTATTTCGCTTACGAAACAACGGGCTGGTAGGATAAATTGTAAATATCGCTTTAATATTTACGTAAACTTTTCATTTTCTCCGTGCAATGAGTACTTAAAATACGTTAATTTGTGTTTAGAAAAGTGCTGTATTTGTGTTAAGCTTTTTTTTGCTTATTCGGTAGAAATGTGGAGAAGGGTTTCCGGTGAAATTGGTTATTTCAGTGAACGAATGAAACGGAAGTGACTCATGTATATTTTACCGGAATACAATGTCCGATAATTTACATTAAAAAACGGTGCGCTTAAAGTGTATTTGGCCGGGATCCAAGTAGACAATAGGAGGAGTTAAGCAAAAGCTGCACACACAGTGCTGCAAGAATAGATTTACGACGAGAGGCGAAATGGAGCGTAAATGGGAGCGCAAAGGTCGTTTTTATTTGGCCAAAAATTATTATTTTATCTTGTCATTGCCTTCCGCGGCGTATAATATCAGAACATGCGGCCATAAATCTTCAAATTTTCGCAAACGGGAATTACTTTCGTCTTCAGAAAACAACGTTGTTTGTCATCGTCACGATTTGTTAACTGTTCATCTGTAACATGAATACGTAAGAACGATCCAACGGGAATCGCCTACTTCGTATCTGGAACACATTCAGCACTACGGTTTTTTTTGCATCAATTTATGTTTCTAAACGGAAAAGATACTTTCTAAAGTGTCGGCATTTTTATTTATTCATTTTTTTAAGGATTACTCCAACATTAGATTATCGCGCAGAGATCGTGTTTTCTTGACAACGAATGTTTCTTACGGAAAATATAAAAATTAGGATCAAACTATAACTTCATTTACTTCCACTTCCAATGTCTTGGATGCGCGCTGGCAAAATCGTAGGTAGGGAGAAAAAAGCTTATTATACTTTCGACTCTTGTTCATTAATCATACTTTTTCATACAGTACCTGCCAAAAGTTTTGTTCGATCATGAATAGTAGTGCGACTCGAACACAAGCTTTAAAGCCTTTAATATGTCTTCAAATATAAATAAACATCTCGTTAATATTTTCAGTAGTAATTGGTACCAATAACAGCACATTTGAGCAATGCAATTGTAGTTGATAAAATGGTCAATTTTTCCGTGCAGTACTGTACGGAATATACGCTCCTCGCCGGTTAAGAGTTTGACCGAGAGTTGTCTCCTTTCTTTTCTAGCCTAGTGCTGTTCTTCTCTACTTTGCGCCGGTCAAACTGAAGGCCACATCGCTACAGAAACTAAACGAAGTATAGCATTAAATAAAGCGAATGACTGAACAATTCTCAATAAAAAGATAGTTTTAATGGCATACTATCACAGTCTATTAACAACTTAATGTATCTACACCGACGACGCGACGTTTCGGCTGTATTTTAAACAACCCTTTTACTAGCATAAGTTACTGTTTAACTTTATAGACGCTGCTTCCAACTATTAATTTGAAAAGGGCTGTTTAAAATGCAGTCGAAACGTCGTTTTTGTACTTTGAATTGTTTATAAATTGTGACAGTATGCCATTAAAATTATCTTTTTATTTAGCATTAAATGACTGCTGAAGCATTATAACTGAAGAATTCGTAAGACTAATTAGTTTAAATTAAGGATACGCAATAAAGTAAATAAAGTTGCTAATGACTACCTTCAGATCAAAATAACTCAAATAATTACCTGACTACGGAGAACAGTTTTAATGTTCAATCAAGAGGATAATTTCATAGAAGTGCTATGTTTCATGTTTACTTGCCTAAAATTTCCTGATAATTCGTAATTTATAACCACTTTTCTTTGTATCAGAAATAGATTTCTCTTTATTGTTGTATGATATTTTTAGTTAGCGTATAACTCTAAAACATTTTTCGTACATGAAAACTTTTTTACACAATAAAGTCTCAAGGATTTAAATATGCTATATTCCTTCAAGTAAATTAATTTGAAGCAGTTAGGCATGATCGTAACGTATGAGTCCTTTTACTTGTATTCTGAGAATCCGAAACTTTTTTATTAAATCGTTAAAAAGTAATGAATATTATTAAGTTCTTTAAACTACTTCAAATGAAATTTTTTGTTTTCTTACTACTGAAACTGTTCTTTGTTTGTTTCACTAACAAATTGGTTAACGTGACAGTGCTATACGGACGTTCAAGCACTATACACTAATTTAGTAAAAAAAAAGAGAAACTAACTCGTCATCTATAAATATTTGCTGAAAAGTGTAGTAGGTATTTCATAGTTGGACCGAGAAGCTGATGTATTTAATTTAACCGATATTCTAAGCAGAAAATACACCTCTATATAATTCACCTGACATGTATAGAGTCACATTTGACATGCAAAACCATCACCATCATCATCATAAGGTCGTCAGTCCTAAAACTGGTTGGACACGTACCTCCACTCTTTCCTATCCTGAGTTAATCTTCGCATTTCCCTAACACTAGAACATCCCATATCCTTAATAATTTGCGATCAGTAATCTAATATATGTAGGGATTTAATTTGATAGCATAAACGTTACTCAAAATCGTAGTGTCCTTTTTTCTTATTTATTTACAAGTATATACAGAGCTGATATTTACAAGAAAGCATACGCGATCCTCGAACAACCTTCTTCTTTTCAATCTGAACAACGACTTCCTTAACATCAATCACCAACTTCCAAACGCGCTACCTGCTACCCCCATGGGTAGAGTACCNTGAAGTCCTCGATACTCTCCTCATTCAGATCTTTCCAGGTCCTTGCTGGTCCTGCTTTATTGAGTCATTCCATATTATTAGTTCTCTGTCTTTTTCCTGTTCCTTTACTTCCTTTGTATCGACATTCAGCTCAATTTGTATTATTAGGTGATCCGATGCTGTCCCTTATTTAACTTCCATTGTTTTGATTTTCTCTTCTCCAATTCTGTTTCTTATCACATAGTCAATCGCCGATTATCCTGCTGCGTCATACAAGCGCTTTTCATTTATTGTGTACTGACCTTGCTCTTCCATCCAGTTTATTAGTTTTTTCCCAACTTCATTTAGAGTTTGGTCGTCTGAATTTTTAAATTCTATTCTTGTCTCATGTTTTACTTTGCCACTTTTTCTCCTTGTTTTAGCGTTAAAGTCTTTTCCTATTATTATCGGTTTTCCTTTACTTTCTTCTATGATTTTTCCCATCCTTTCAAAATTTTCTTCTTTATTTTCTCTCATGTTTACACTCATAATTATTACTTCTTCACTTCCTGCCTTCGTGTCGATACTTACCAACTCATCCTTTATTTTTTTGGTAGTGATTTCTTTGTCTATTCTTTTTTTGTGAACGCTGTAACCATACCATAGGACTACAGCCTATATTATACGAGGGTGGATTGATAAGTTTCCGGCCTGACCAAGAAAAACAAGGTTTTTAAAAATTTTTTTTTTTTATTTCTCAACTCATCCTTTATTTTTTTGGTAGTGATTTCTTTGTCTATTCTTTTTTTGTGAACGCTGTAACCATACCATAGGACTACAGCCTATATTATATTTGGGACCAAAACATACGAAATAGCGAAACAAAACGAAAAATTAGCTAATGTGGGTATCTTCTAAATAAGAAAAGAAGAGTTTGTTCAGCTTATCAATGTAGAACAATGTTAATTAGTCTCTCTATAGAAGCCCACCTTTAGGAAAATCTGAAATACCGCAACTCCCAAAAAATCAATTCTTTACTAGCTTGCTTTAATAAAGATTTTGTGATAATCAAGTTTGAGCTGCGTTAGAGTCTGTCTGATAAGATCCTGCCCTATTTTTATTGTTGATGGGAGTTAGGACATTAAATTTCTATAGATACTAAAATATCTTTATTATTTTAGACTTTTCCCTTGTTCATTTAAA